AAATGCAAATTTTAAACTTAACCTATTGATAACTGACGTTTACCAACCATCCATACAGGTATGAATTCATAAATATCATCAACAAGACGGTAACTAACTGTTAATATACTAAGTAGCATCAACGTTACCGGTTTGTTTACACAATTATATTCTTTAATAAAGCATGGACGTAACCTAATAAGTCTAACAACTGTCATGTGAATTTCATATGACATACACAGAAGTAGGTGACATCAGTTCTTTCATATTAGCTTTTGTTCAACCTTATAAAAATAAAAATTAAAAAAGATTTCAAGGTTTTTTTCTCATTATTAACACTACCGGATTTTTAAAATGATTCAAATATTTTATGATTCAAGTTTCTTTCTAGCGACACAACCAGTTAATTGAACAATAACCGAATTTTATATTGATTATTAATAATCCGGAATTAGAGATAAGTGATACACTAGTTAGGTTGATTTCTATATTTAAAACATTAGAACAATGAGAGCGTGGATATATTTTTTTACAGGAGGAAAAAATTTATTATAAGACATAGGTGATATTAAACATGCAGAACGTCATTTGGCCCATTTTTAGTGTTCCAGTAACCCATGTCCAGATGTAGACCATCTTTGCCCTAGGGGTTTTGATTGGATAGGTAATTTAGATAGCTTTCTCCAATATTTGCTTGGTAATGTTAAAGGGCAACTGAATTGAATATATTATATTTTAAATTATAATATTTTATATTATGCCCTGTAATTTATATATATAATATTTAATAAATAAAGGAATATAAAGTTAACATTCTCATAAATTAAAAACAAAGTGATAGTCGTAAGTAGTCATACATATATATATATATATATATAATATATATGCACAAGGATATAAAAATAGAGGATTTTGCATAAAGCCTTAAAATATAGGACTTACATAGAGCATAATTAGCATATATTCAAAATTGGGCCATAAAACCGTAGGACCTAAAGTGAAGAGATGTTAAATATAACGTTTTAACAGGTAATATACAGCTGTAGGACCTGTAAAAACTTAAAATAACTAGATATAAAAATATAAAATATTTATAATTCTAAAAGTGTATGAGATTAAATTCAGGGTCTATATTTTTAAAAGTTGAACATAAAAGCTTAAAACATAACATTATTTTATGTCATACTGTACTGGATATATGCATTTTGCTAATTATTTTTCTAAGAAAATCCTAGATAATTAGAGTAGGCGTCTTAGGAAAGAACTGTCTAGTAAAAAAGGGGGATTGGCATTAGGCCTAGATCCTGGCAGATTTCGCACTTTCGGTCGACTGGATACATACAAAAAACAATAGAAACAATATATCTTGGCCCGAATCTCTCTACTCTACTATCCACAATTGCCTTATTCTTCAGTTAATACGCTGTTATTTGCTTTAATTTCACTCCTGTCCCCGTTATGCTGCATTGCTAGTGAGAAAAGAAACCATGCATCTACTATAAAAATCTATTAAAATTTAAATTTATTAAATAAGTTTATAGAGAAGCTTAAAAAGTATAATGTATATATTATTAAGAGAAAGATTCTAAAGATGATTTTAAAATGACGAAACACGTTTTAAGTATTATAGAAGAATAAAAGAAGAGAAAATCGTGAAAAGAAAATTCAATTGTTTCAAACTCAAGGCTAATTGTCTTTCTAGCAATTTGAGAAAGAGATGATTTTTTATATTTATTTATTTACTTTTATCAATGAAAGAAAGAATTATCAAATTTCAGGACATGATTATGCCATAGATCCAAGAACAATTATTTCTATGACATTAATTATATAAGCACAAATTTACTTCAAGAAAGAGGAGGATATTTTCAAAATTAAAGTGAGATTATCTAAATATTTACTTTTTAATAAATAAAAAATATGAATTCGTTTTAATTTTTATTGCTTTTTATATAAGGATTTTTAATTCAATATAATATGACTTTATATTATTGTAAAAATATGAATTACATAAAATGCTTACTAATTAGCATGCAACAAAACTGTGAGTTGACATAATTATTTTTATCTGCATGTTCATTACTTTTTAATATTTTAAAAGTTCCACGAAAGTGAAATTACAAAACAACAAATAAATAAATGAAATAAAAAGTAAGTAAATTCTTATAGATTTTACTTACAATTTGATTTACTTACATTTCAAAGAAGAAAAGAAAAAGGAAACTCAAATGTAATGAAATTGAAGCTGAAAATCTTTGATTTAATTTTAATTTTTTACTTAGTGTGGAATTTATATTAAAAAAAATTAACTTTAAATTGCAACTTTATCTTTTAACTTTTATTTCTATGTATTTAAATAAATTTCATTTGAAATTTTAACAGTTTGAAATGTTCAAAACTAAAATTCCAAACAATTTGATTAAAATACGATTGATATAATAAAAAACAAACAGGAATATCATCAAAAGAAAGATTTTGTTAAAATAAAACTGGTTGAAATGTAAATTATACAAAGACAACTTTAAATAATTTGTATTTCAACGAATGTTTAAAATTTTTTGACAGAAAAACACTGTAAATTGTAGACATAAACTTGAGTAATTACCTAGATATACCTAGAACATAATTTCTTACTGTGACGTAAGCATTCCGGCAAAACTTTCTCTGGGTCACTAACCTCCATTTGTCCTATATCGAGAATGTCTTCAGCAAAACAGTTTTATCCCCTTGCTAATATTAATTTCATTAAAGTCATTCGAGCGTCACTTTAATGCTATTTACGAACTGATCATACATGTAAATCGAAAACATTTTCCTAAAGCACTTATTTAATTTTTCATATAATTTTAAAGTTAATAACTATTGATTTTGTTCGATGATCGAGCAATTACGTAACATTATGCAAAATAAAATATTGCACAAATCGACTAAATTTTATGTATATAAAATATAGGATAAATAATAAAAAAAACATATAAAATATAAAGAAAATTGTAAGAAGAGTTTAAAACGTGTTATGTATTAATGTCGTGTTAAATTTCGCTTTTATGTTAATTGTGTTAATGATAATTTATGGTTGTGTTGTTATATGTTTGTTAACATAGAATATGCATAGCTTAAAGACATAGCCTTATATTAATGCAAAACAGCATTAATACTGAACATATATTCGGCATTACAAGTTAAGCTGTTCTCATTTAAATGTATAGCTCTTCCTTTTCCTCCACCTCTTTCTCTCTTTCTAAATATAACTCTATTTTAATGCTCTTGAATATATGTATACATAATATTATATGTATCACTATTTACATATAGAATTATACACTATATAAATAGACATTTCCACCAATTTTTCAAGAGAATTAATGGACAAAAGAATGGAATGATACAAAATTACACATAATTCAACATGTACCATAAAAAATTATCATTACATTTTCTCATCGTTGGACCTGTCTTACATTCTGTCACTAATAGTTTTGTGCAATGTCCCTACGTAACTGTTCAATGCGGATGTGCTATCAGTTTTAAATTCGGTATGCTGTCCTACATGATCGTTCATACGGAAACATACAATGCCTTCACGAATGGCAATTCGTGTGACAATTTATTTGTCACAACTTGATAATCAGTATATTTGTCTAAGTGTAATTTATATATATATATAGTTCATGCGATAACAATTGAAAGATAGTGAAATTTTAAAGAAAATTTCTGAGACAATCGAAGAGAAAACAATAAATTTCCGAACAAATTTAAGTAAAAACAGCATTAAAAAACGAAGCGGCCAAAGTGTTATAAAATTTTGAAACGACAATTTATTTGAAATGCTAAATTTAGCAAATCAATTATCGGTTATTTTGTAATAAATTATAGCTTACGGCAATCTAGGTTATTAATATATTACATAACCGATAGTCTTATAACTTATATGCATGTGTAAAACAGTATAACGCTTAAATAGAAAATGTTAAAAGCAATAAAAGAGATTCATGTTTGCTGGTGATACCAGGTTCGAAAACATGCTCGATATTCTTTTGCTAAATGCTGGATCGAATCAACCGTTTCAGACAGGTGCAGACTACAAATTGTGCAATTAAATTAACTCGTCATTAATAACAGTTGCATAACTAATTAATATCGACACACCCAAGTTTGTATACAAGAAAAGTTAAAAATTCATGTTTTATACGTGCATAAGTTATGAAAATACATATATTAAAGTACTATGAATTTCTATATAATATATTAAATGAAAGAGTTATAAAAAGTAGATAAGAATTACGAAGAGAAGTACAGAAAGGAAAACTGCACCAGTTCTATCCAAATTTTGCTTATATTTAGAGAAAATATGTAAAAATCATGACAACCTCCTTTACGTAACGAAAATAGAAACCGATTAAAGTTCTTTTAAAAAGCTACAGAATAACAAACATAAAATATTCTAGTTATAAAGCTGGCATTCATTAAAAACGTATAATTTTCACGATTTCGTGATAAGTATTAGAAGCGCTGATTGGTTTGAATGACTCTTACATTTAAAGCTATTGTTTACTTTGACAATAAATATACTTGATAACTGCACTTAACACATATTTTTAAATCAAATTAATTATTAAAGTATTCCAATTATCTCATTAAAATTTAAGTTAGATAAAATTTCAAGTTACTTATCACAAATTGATCTTAGAATAAATTTCACAAAACCAAAGTGTCAATTTTTTTTAGTATTTAAATATACAGAATGTAGACATTAAACTCAACGTAATTAACTGTAACGAAGCTAATAGAGTAAAAATTAGATCTATAAATAAACAATACAGACGTGATACACAAAAAATGAAAATTTCATTAGAATAAGCAACGGAAAACGTACAGTTATTCTCGAAAAATACAGTTCTTCAAGTACAGACGTGACAAAAACAATCACGTAGGTGATCAGGTGACCCAGAAGATCGTTAACACCGTAAAAATCGGGTAAAATATACTGAAATACATAACAATTATTTAAGTAATATTACCTTTAGCACCGAAGACTAGCGGAATCACATATATAATGAACACCAAACGGACAGTATATGGTAATAAATAAAATAACATTGTCATCAGTCATATGTATATGTGGAGAAACAAACCCTCAACGAAGGTTGTCCACTCGGTGGATGGTTTAAAATCTCAAGGAGACAAGAACAGCTGGTTTTGTCCCACACTATTCAATCTTAACTGTACAACTTTTGTGACCTACACTACCAGTCAAGCTTGTCTTATAAAAGAAGTTATAATGACGTCAGCTCGGACGCTTGCGCATTTCTGATCGGGTAAATTTTCTAAGAATCCTGCATGAAAGATCCTGCAAGCAAAAGGTACATTCCATGTTCCCAGAAGGAAAGAAGATTACACTTTATTTAATTTATTACTCATCCCGATATTTTCGTTCCAACTTTCGATTTCTCTTGAATTATAATTGGTATAGTGTTTTTGCGAGATTTAAAATTTTATTATCTATTTAAAATTAAAATAAAATGAACCCGAGAGAAAAAAAAATTTCTCTTATTAGGATTGTAATTTTATAGTTGTATTAATAACTGAAAAATGTATGAAATCGGATATATAAATATAATAATTAAACAAAGCCTAAAGGGTGTAAAATGTTCCATATAAATATTTTTATACTTAGTATTAAATATGTCTTATAAGAATAATTCTTGGAATTGTATATATTGCCATATTAGTTATAGATTTATAACTTTTTTATACCATAACTTGTTATTTAATATATAATTATAAATTGTATGTTATATTATACGTATTATTATTTAACCTAGATCGGGAGAAATGCCCACTGGGGTGAGATGCCCAATTTTTAGTATTTAGAGATTTCAGGTAGCGCTGCAAACGTACGTAATGAGTCAGGCGTGTTCACAGCGCCACCTAAAATTTTTTGTTATTAATTTAAATATTTCTCATTTCTTAAAAATGGATATTAATATTTTTAAAAAATGCTTGTGTTTTCCAAATTCATATTCGCAGAAAATTAAAAAAAAATTGATTATTTAAAAATTCCACATTGCACTATCTCGCAATATCATTTTTCAGTTGTATTTATACGATAAATTATCATGGTATTATTTGTCTTCCAGGAGTTTTATTTATTTTAAAAACTTAAATTTCTAAAAATCTAGAAGTAAGCATTGTTCAAAAACAATATTGCTGCGTTTGCAGAACAAATCAAATAGATAAAATAATAATGTATATCTATTTTAAGCAGAACATAACCAATTATATTCTTACAAAGAGATTACATGATATTTATTATTGTAAAACTTAATTTGAAGTGTTTACACATGAAGATAAGAAATTGTCGGTAATAATTTGGTAATATCATTGATATTTTATCTGATAAAATAATATTATATTACACATTTAAATAAACATATAGCTTTGTTAGACTTTAGACTTTTTCTACTTTGAAATATAAGTTGTGTTAATGATTTTTAATACGTTATTAAAGGAAAATAGATTTTATATTAAAATTTTAAAAATTAACAATCTTATAAAGAATATTCAAAAATATTAATTTCTTATGTCTTCATTTTATCAAAAAATTCACAATAACTCAAGAACACTTATTCAAACTTCATTACATGTTTTTGCATACAAGCCTTCATCAAATAAATGAATATGCCAAATGGATCAGATAGATAAATGGAGACATGCCAAATATTTTGACTGATTTTGTTACAACAAGTAGCATTTCAGCGTTTTTTCCCCTTATAAATTATAGCCATTATACATTTCTTACAAAACCTATAATGATTAGTAAAAATGATTATCAAGAATACAATAGGTGTTTGTGAGCATTGTTACACAAATCAATAATTTTAAATTTTTGCACAAAATTTAAAAATCTCAAAGAAAAAACCCTCATAAAAATGAACAAACTTGATATTTACTTTTCTAAAAATCTTTACATCTTGTTAATTGTAAAGTACGTGAAAATTTGTACGTACAGTACATAATAAGAGTAAGATTGTAAGTATAAGACATTTTGTTCACATTTGCCCAATGAATAAAGAAAAATAACAATAAAGACAANTTCCAAAAAAAAAAAAAAAGTTATGCTACATTCAAGCTAATTAATTTATTTTATATACAAAATTCTTCTTTTTATAATTTGAATTTTTATATTTTAAATTTAGGATTAAAACGACACAAAAACTTAAAAAAAATATTGAATTATCTTCTAGAAATAAATTTATAGATATCCATTAAAAATTAATTTTTATTAAAGATATAAAACTGAAAATTATTAAGTAATTATCGATTTATTATTAATTTTTTCAGCATTTTGACTTATAAATTTATTTTAGAAAGTTGCATTTTCTAAATGAAATATTTATATAATGTTTAAAACAATGTACAGTTTTTATTAATTTTTTAATTAACATAATACACATCTCTGTATAAAAAGAAAAAAAATAGCAAAGGTTTATAATATCAATAATTGAGGTTCTACGTATGACTTTATTAAAGTAACTCATCTTTGATTGAAATCGATGACGTGGTGATTGATGAGATAAGAACCTGTTAAAAAGTACATCGAATGCGGTAAATGGAACAATATTTAAATATTCTGTTTTGAATTGATAACAAGGTCGATTATTGTTTCGGCCCGATTTCTCATTTCTTTCTCAACATAAAATAGCAACATTCCGTTTATCAATGATTTAAGTCAAGCGAGTTCGTCTTTCAAAAATTAGCATAGTTAAATCGAGTCTCACTTATTTCAGATCTTGTCAATTGTTGTATACATGTTGCAATAACAAACAGTTGATGGTTTAATTGCTTAAAAAAATATAAAAAATTCTACATATTTATGCACATATATGTATATTTGCAATTACAGTATATCTAATTCAAGCAACATGAAATAAAGAGCAAATAATTATTATCACGTTATATCGTTTAATTTAATCAGAGAATTTTAAAATAAAAGACTTATTAATGTACTGTACTTTAAACACACAAAATAATAATTAACAGAATTAAGTTATATAATAGACATTTCTCATACAACTCTTGTTAAACAAAAGATTGTTTAATAACATTTTGAAGATAAAATATAACGAATTAAATATTGTTTGACTGATTAAAAATAAATAATTATATTTATTTAAAATTTTTTAAATGTATTTAGCATTCTACACATAATATAATCAATGGAGATTACTGCAAGTTATTTATATTTCTGTTATTTAGTCGTATTTTAGCCTATATTGCAAAATGCTTATTAGTTAACTTTATCAAATATTGCGGCTTTGTTCATTCTGAAAATAATAAAATTTCATTAAAAATTTAATTTAAAATCTTAATTTAACTCTAATTTAAATATTTCAAACAATAGAAAAAAACCTTTCAATCTATATTTAGTAACACGAAACTCATTAGCATGCTGAGAAGAGTGATCATAGTCCATACGATGCAGGAGAAAAATGATCATAGTTCATTTTTCTGTTGTAATCAATGCCGTTATTTCTTTCATTCAGTTATTATTTTGTGGATTTACTTGTAGTTGAGTTAATGATCTACTTTTATAAACATTAATTAAGTAACTGAAAATTACTTAAAGTGATTTCCTTATTATCTAATACTTTTTATTGCGGGATTCAACATATAAAAGAATTGTATGGAGAAAATAGATTATGTATATAAAATAATGATCCAAATCCGGTATTGTGAACCAAAATTAATGGAGTGTGATATATATATTTTTAATTTAATTTAACCATGGAAGAAGATATTCTAAAATTTATTATTCTGCGAGATAATTTTCGTTATTTTTATTTAAGAAAAATCTAAAACTTTTTCAAGTCAACATACATATATTTATATGCAGGTCTAATATATAATATATGCAGGTCACATGTATTTACANACACCCGATTCAAATCTATGAAAATAACAATAAAAATAATATATATAAGTTCACATAAAGATTAGAAACATATAGTCTATATTTATTTTAATTTAGCTTAATTTTTATGGAAATGCTCTTTTTTTTAATAATTTTAAAAAATGTATATCTCAAAATAGGAATTTGTAATGATATAGAATATTATATAAACGATATAAACTTAGCTTTAAGCTCTTTGATAAGATTTATAATAATTAAATTTTCATAAAAGTTTAAACGATTCTTAAATAAACAGGATTCTTTCTTATTCTGGTTCATGTACGATAATGAAAAATAATACAATAGAATGTTATACAAACAAGCTACTATTCATTCAAAAGAAGCGATACTTCATTCTCATTAATAGATATTACATCCAAATTGTTCTTCAATCTTTCTCTAGTTGTTTCTAAAACAATTGCTCCTTATAAATATCTCTTATCAAGATTGCTTAATATCCTTTTTTCTCTATAATGGGTCCACTTTTATAATAATGCATATTCAATTATGACTTACTTGGCTATATTTTATAAATAAGTTATTCTTTGTTAGCAAATTCCATTTGAACATTTATGTCATGCCTAAAACTCGCTATGGAAAAGAGAGTTTTAGGCCGGTATTACATATGTTAGGCACGGTATATTTTTTAATATCTAATTAAACTTAATATAAAAATATATTCTGTTTCGTTTTTACACAATTTCTAATTTTTTTGTTATTTGAATTTAACTATTTCAAATAGTATAATCATTCAGAAGCGCACTCTAATTTAAATTTTAAAATTCATTATAAGATTGTACATAGCTTACTTTAAGTCACAGATGATGTATATTTATTATATACAGTATATGTTTTTTTAATTTTTAGTAAAAAAATAATTTTATATTATATTTTGCATCTCACTTGTTTCTGAAGAAATCATAATTTTAAACGTATTCTTGGAACTATTATAATTATTGATGCATATAATTTAACGTCAGAGTATAGGGCCTATATAATTTTAATTTTAATTCATAATATCTATATATAAAAAAAATATTTCCTAAGACGCTGTCCATTAATTACGTGTACAATTTTGAGTCACTTTTAATTCCCTGCCTTCTTGTTTTGTACAATGATGTACTTTTAGCAAATCTTCCCATTAATTACGTGTACAATAGTTCATGGATTCCGACTTTAAAGAAATGACTTTAAAAAGTTCTTCAAATATTTTCTCTCACAGATAATTTTACCCAATCCACCCATCGTGTACAATGATGTACCGTACTTTTCGCGACTCCTCTACTT